AATTTTTTCGCTACTTTGAGAAGATGCTCACAATGCTGAATGAGGTTCGGATTTTATAGTAAAGTAATTTCGTCACTGTAATCGATGATAATCGACCCGCCCCCTCCTCATTTGTCCCTTTTCGTCGACGGTAGCTCTCGTGGAAAACTAAATGATGGGAAGCTGTAAAATTGAGGAAGATGGTAGACAGAATGAAGGATGGAGAAAGGGACATGGTTGTAGGAGAGCAGAAAACTTTGAGGGGGGGCGTCGTATTTTCCCGAAACTTCCCATAACAGCAGGAGGTGCCCTGAGTAAAACGAACCTCCAGAGATAAAGCAGTATGCAGAAACACCTTGTACGAAACTTTCCTAACGATAAACCTTTACGGAACGACGAACTATTGCACCATTGCATTTGCGTAGTGGGTGAATGTAAGCAGCGCTAAGTCGCAGCTTAACTTGTGAAGTGGACGTTCTGTTGTCCTTGGAAGGTATCCAGGAAGGACACAATGAGTGGCGAGCACCTCTAGAAAAAGTTAGTACCCCAGCAATCCGCCCCAAGAGCAAAAAGGAATCGTCCTACGACGCTACAGGCAACAATGAGCCGTTATTCACGGTGTGAATTCTTGTCGCGTTGGTCACTGAGCCATCGAAATGATTGCGAGTCCGACATTTCTGGAGCTTTATCTCCACTATGGAGCGACAGAAATGGTCATCCCCTACAATTACTTACTGGCTGCCAAGTGCGCGCAGGTATATAACGTATTAGTCAATCACCGGATGCTGTAACCTGCTGTAATCACCGGATGTCTTTGAGTCCAAGTTTCAGTTGAAGTGGGTCAGTGGTGTAATTGTACTATAGTTTTGAATTTCCCAGCAACTGAACAAACTGCTTTCTCTGTGTGTCCCCGCATGATTCGCGAATTACTTATTTTGTCCAATACTCAACCTAGATACTAACAAGGGAATGGTTTGAACTTCCCATGGAACTTTGAATGGAGACCTAGGTACATCGATAGAGCCTCGAATGCTGATTACGAATATGCAGATTAAAAGTGCTACGGGGACCTCCCAGACGAGATCTGGGTGGTCAAAGTTTGAGTTCTGGCTCGTAAGCGCTGCTGATCGATGCCTCGGCAGTGCCACCGTGGCCTCGTGGTAATGGTCTCGCTTTCAAGTCAAACGCATGCGGGTTTGCATCCGGTTGGCGCGAAAATTTTTGCTTCGCTCCGTATAAGAGCTTCAACTCTAATTTTCGAAATTCTTCCGAATTTACGGCCCAGCAGGGCAAGTAGATCAAGTACATCAAGTATACGACGTACTCGATCTAGTATGGATTTGGTCATATCTGCCCTCTCTGAACATATTACCCATCCGACAATTCAAAGTTTTGCCCAGAATCGCAATTTGGCCAGACGAGCGTTTTTTCGTCGAAGGATGTGATATTCGTGTTCAGGGGTCGAAATCTCCCATGAACGAGTTTCTCGCTAAAACTTTGAATTGTCGGATGGGTAACCTGTTCAGAGAGGGCAGATATGACCAAATCCATACTAGATCGAGTACGTCGTATACTTGATGTACTTGATCTACTTGCCCTGCTGGGCCGTAAATTCGGAAGAATTTCGAAAATTAGAGTTGAAGCTCTTATACGGAGCGAAGCAAAAATTTTCGCGCCAACCGGATGCAAACCCGCATGTTTGACTTGAAAGCGAGACCATTACCACGAGGCCACGGTGGCACTGCCGACATCGATCAGCAGCGCTTACGAGCCAGAACTCAAACTTTGACCACCCAGATCTCGTCTGGGAGGTCCCCGTAGCACTTTTAATCTGCATATTCGTAATCAGCATTCGAGGCTCTATCGATGTACCTAGGTCTCCATTCAAAGTTCCATGGGAAGTTCAAACCATTCCCTTGTAAGTTCGTTGCGCCATCCGGAGGGTATATACTCCTCTTCATTACGGACTGTCGGGGCGGGTCAGTGCGGCTGCGTTTTCCGCGGTTCCAAAGTCTTTCTGCACCAGTTGTTGAAGCGCCGGCGATCGACAATGACAGTAAACAGCATTATAACTGCCTTCGTATTACTCGTTTTCTACCACTTTTTGTCGCATACGCGCTTCAAAGAAAAGGCTGAGAACGGCTTCAAACAGTGTGCGCACTCCTTCTGGCCGATACGCCCCGACAGTCCGTAATGATGAGGGATGTATGTTTTCCTGGAGCCTTTTTCCCGCGATTTTGAGGGACTAGAAGCGTACAGGTTATGGACAAGGCGGTGTCAGGGCTTCCTCTCGATTAATCCTGAGTCCGCAGAAATTTGCGGGAAGGGCTGTCCCGACTTCTATCCAACTCACACCCTTTATCCGTCCTATCATTTGCACCGATCACGGCTATATCTGATTTCGTTCATGCTTAAGATGGAAGCGAAGTTGGGCGTCCAGTGCTATGTATACTACATCATTGATCTTCACGGGCTCAGCTTCGACCCTACCCTTGTGGGAACTCTTACTGGTATGTCACTTGGGTTCCATATAGCCTTGAGCAAACAGCTTCTTCCGACAAATGCGCATCGGCGTTGCCTTTCCAGGTCCTTATCGTGTCTCGTGGCAGTTAGTTAACCAACATTACCGAGAGTTTGTTGAGCGATATATCTTCATTCATACTCCCAGCTACCTTAGCGTAATTGGGTACGTTCATTTACAGCTCTCATTTTATTTTGAGAAGCATTTCTCTTCATTTCTGGTATTTCTGAGATCACGGATTTTTCTTCTGTTTTCTCAGGAAAGCTATTGCACGACTCGTACCAGAAAAAGTGAGAAGAAGAATAATGGTGATCGGGAAGGAGTGGCCAGAAAAGATGCTGGAGATCGGCGATCGCGACTACTTTCCCAAACGATATGGTGGAGAAATTCCGGACGAAAAAGTCTTAAGGTATGGAGCAATAATGGGCGACGAAAAGGGCACGTGCAAATGAAAAAAGAACGGAGATCCCATGTATCGTATACCGAGGTATTAGGTTGGCGGGGAAGTTCTGTGTTACTTTTTCGAACCCAAGTATTCGCCTATTACCTGAAGAGGGCTAACCGGTAATGTGAGCATTGGGCAACCGGTAATGTGAGCATTAAGGATTGATCCTCTATCAGTGTCACTGGCTCTTCTCCTGCTCATCCTTATTCTGCATTATGGACAAAAATGTTATCCGCTACCTTCAGCAACGACCCCAGCTCTTCAGAGCGGGAGCCTACGGTTCGAATGACGAAGTGAGGTTCGGGAGTACCTGTAAACTCAGCTCTAGATAGCGGTGGGTCGGGAAACTACTGGATGAAGAAGCTGCCTCCTCGGTCAATCCGTACGCAAGGCAGCTACGAGATCTGAAGCGAATCGTCAAGCAGAGGGCAAAATCCATCGGCACAGTCCGTCTTCAACGTGCTGGTGCAGCACACCCCGTCAAAAAAAGTTCGAGCCGTACTTCATGCAATAGAGCTGGATGGCTCTCCCCTTGCACCGGTGTAGTCCAGACATTGCTCTTTCTGCTACTCGCTAGTCCCGTATTCAACCATTATACAGCGAGAAAACCTCCGACGGTTTGAGCCCAAGTCCCAACAGTTGAAATGATGTCCAACTTTGCGTCGCGCCGGCGTGCATTGTTAAGCGATGGCATCCACGAACTGTCCAAAAACTGGCAAGGATCTCTCAATAACATTGCTGTATAATTTTGATCTTGTACGCCTCTCTGTAAAAAGAAAGTCTAATTTGAAAAAATGTGACAGAACTTTCCCGCCAACCTAATACATATTTAACTACATCCTTACCGTAGTGAGAAGGGATGAGCCGCACCCTCCCCTCAACAAGCTGCACGTTTATCTTTTTGAAACCTGTTTTGATCCTTCAAATTGCATGTATCAGAAAATTTTTTTGCAGTGGATTACTTTGAAAGAGAACTGTAGCTCACCTTCGACCTCAGGTCTGGAGGGTAATGACACCCGAGTGCCGTCTCCCGGCTCCTCGTGCTACCTGAGTACGCAGCACTTGTGTGGATATCACGCTATGTAGGTTCGAAACCCCTGTGCGAAACAGACACTCAGTGGAAGAGAGAAAAGCAGAAGTGATAGGAAGCTTCCAAGTAGCGCTTTTGGCTATGGTTCGGCGTGCGGCTGGCCGTACGGGACGGGACGTGGGCGAAGTATGGGAAGGCCTTATCACTACTGACAGCGTGTTGGACAGATAATAAACTTTCTGTCATGTATTTGACTTGACCTTGAATTTGACATTTATTTACTGTTTAGAGATCCGAAACCAGTGCCCAAGAATCTATACTGGCGGCCGAGACCGGATTACCCCAGCGTATCCACGATGTATCACTTCTCGATTCCAGCAGGTACGTGCCCATGCGGATTTGTATGCGTGTATGTGTCCGAAACCAGGTAACGTCATTAATTCAAGCTTGGGCAGGTAGAAAGATTGGGACCACCTTGTACTCCCGCCCTAGTCTGCAAACTGTTTCATCTGTATTGATTACGAGCCAACTTTTGCGACGTTTTGGCTCAGAATACAAGAATACCTCCATTTCATTCATGGCCCTTGCTTCCCCGCGAGTTTCTATAGAGTTTGCAGTCGCTGGCGCGAGTCGGAGCCAAGTTTTGGCGCGGTGTTCTCCGCCAGCTGCTGAAGCAGACAATCTAAAACAACCGGTGAAAAACGAGCTGGCGCCGCGTCAAACAGTCTCCTGACACGCCACAGCATCTGCAGCGAAAACGAAGATGTATCTTAACGTTCCTGAAAGAGATGGCCCAATGTCTTGAAAGTGGTGATGCTCAGGCTCACAGTCTCCTAGTAATCTGGCATTTCACTGGCTTTTAGCTTTGGAGTCATCAGAAGCTCCAAAAACATTGATCCTCAAACATCAGCTGTTCAGGAAAATCGAGGACGCTGAGTTACTACGCTATGGCTGGAAGTTACCTATTTTTCTATTCTCAAAATGATGAGAATGTGACAATGTCCATCTTTTACACT